GAGAGATGAGTTATCTTAATGATTTTTCATGTTGTATTCAGATACTCTAATATTTGCTGTGTACACAATATCTGATGCATGTCTCATACATAATAATTATGTATAATACTCTGTTCGCCGAAAAAATGTGGTTATTTCACACAATTAACTGGTGCTGAGAAGTGGGGATTTGAGTTTTACAGCAGTGTATAAGAAGGGAGGTTTACACATTTTGGTTTATGTGCAACTACATACTTAAAGAATAGAGTTGCGATTACCCAAAAATTTAAATAATTATGGAGAATAATGAGCACTTCAGTGGTGTACCTATTTTGCCTATACTATGCGCCGGGTATCACTCAATAGTCAATATGTTTACATGAAGTATTTTAAACGATATGTTATTTATATTCATATTGGATATGTTTTCCTCATTTTAATCATCAGTAATTAAAAATATTTTTGACGTAATCTATACCATGGCTAAATAATTTATTATTAGCTTAGTTTATTTAGCCATGATCTATACCATAAATATAGACATTAAATAGTTTACAATCAAACATTTGATCATAATATGATTCATACTCATCTGCACTTGATGAAATACTGCAGATTTTGATATTTCTACAAAATAAGTTCAAAGAGAGTTCTTGAAAAGAACATATAATTAATCTGTAAACCTATAATACTCAATATAAGGTATATTGTGCGTCTATGCTCTATGGACTTATCATATAATAATATCAATTATTTTTGGTTAACCCCAATAATCGATATTTMTTTGAGTTAATTACCGATTCTAATAATTTAAATTTAAAAAATAATGCATTAATAGATTGATAGGTCATTTCTCGATTCTTTATACTTGCAATTCAAAGCGCGATGGAGGTAGATGAACAAAGCTGTTCCTTCGACATCAGCAGAGTACCTACGACTGCACTATAGGTATTTTAAATGCCGTATTTAGCTCAACTATGTATTTTTTTTTTATCCCGCGGCAACTAAGGCCATTGGGAAGGGCGTAGTACTATAGGTTTTATACAACGGTAGGTTGGTTACACGTGGGTGAGAGCTTTGGCAGAATTTCTATTGGGGCACCCGTAGGTTTCTGCAATGCCCAGGAGTGGGGGATGGTGGCACTTACAACTATATTTTACCAGAAGAGTTAATGACTATGGACTAAAAGAGACCTGCGTTATCAAAAATTTGGCTTGATAAGATTTTTTGTAGTACCGAAGCMTATGTGAAAGATRATTGCGATAGTTGCTCACGACTTAAAGGGGGGCACTTAGGTAACGCCTTGTTGACTAGGACCATGAAAAAATGTTGGTTTCCGACGATGCGAATATATGAGACAACATGTCTGTATGTGTGTAGATTGTCTTATTCATAAAAGACCGTAGCTAACCATGGTTATTCTTATTCTTATTATATCCTATTCCGCCAGGCCGTCGATCATTTGTTATAATTCGTAGAAGACTGCAGTCTGTAATCTTTTAATATAATTAAATGCAAAAAAACTATTTAGAATAAAATCATGATAGAATGATTATTTATTGGTCACATTATTATTTAAGTTCAAAAATTGTGAACACAAAAATTAACTAGAGTTTAAAAAAATACGAAAGGAAGGAATATTGGCAACCCCAGGCAAAAGTATTTCGAAAAGAAAAAAAAAATGTAGAAAAAATTATACAGTATGAAATACGCTGAAGTCTGCAGTATTATGTAATCCAAAGATACCTAATTAAATACAAAAAACTATTGAAAATATTAAAATTATTATTTGTAGAATGGTTATTTAGAAAGCACATAATATGGTTATTAAAGTTTTTAAACAATTAACGGTTATCAATATGTTTAAGATATCTTTAAAGAAACAAGTACCGGCTACCATAATATCAAAATTAAACGACAGCCGTTTTCGAAAATTTTTAGTTTCTACCAGAGTCTAACCTAGTTTATTGGGAACGGTTTTAAGCCTGGCTTGATTATTAACTATTTTTATATAACTCATTATTTGAATTTTTAAAATAAAACCGATAACGATCAAGTTCTAGTGTCGTCTTYTTGAAATTAAACATAGCTAACAAATATTAAAATAAATTCGATTATGCAAATGCAATCGCTTATATATACTATAGTTAATCATAGTATATAGGTATAGCACCATAGAACACATTAAGTTCGATATAAGATATCTGATTAAAATATAATATATTATGAATCAATAAAGATTTACTGAGCATTCGGAACTAGACAGTATCATCACAAAAACACAGAGGAAATATACAAAAATAAACACAAAATACAATAGCATATACGCGCGCGGCGATGACGGTCGGTGCAGTACCTACTACAGTGGCACCTAACTACCTAGCTAGTGGTACATCAGGTAGTACATTATAATTCAGAATATAAACGAATAATCATACATTTTCAAAGAGTAAGTAATTAAGTATATCATTATTCATTACACACCTACTTWCTTAAAATATTCAAAATGTAAGTAAATAAATGGACACATACTAGTTGCGGAYGAAATTATTCAGGTCAATATTGTAACATAACAATTGCGGACAYGAGTTTCGTTATCGTAGTACTAGTTGCGTACAGAGTTTTTTTTCTYAAACACATTTCTCAAATCAGGTGAGTTGCGGACACAAATATTTCCCTTCACCACTTTTTCAGGACTTAGGCCAAGCTACCAAAAAGTTGTTAGGCGGGGTTAAAAATATTTGTGTCTTGTAAAAGAGCAATCGTTATTATTGAAATGTTGTTAAATTATTTAATGTTTTAATTTTGTAGCAAAAATTATTTATAAAATACTTATAGATTATCGTCATAGCATTTATAGATCTTTTGGTAAAAAAATGTTTGAAACAGCCTGTATATATGATATTCTACTGATTTCACCACGTGAATATTGCAAAATTTGATTGCTAATAAAWGYCTYYTTWTYAACAGTTATTTTTGCTCGTTTTAAATTTCGCACTGCAGAGCAATTCATTTTCGTATCGCTACTAGTCTGTACTTCATTTAGGGCCTCGATCAATTGATATATATTAGGRHGACTTAAWAATAATAATAGGTAATTTGTCCGCAATTAGTATCTTATATTTGTGTCCGCAATTCGTATGTTACCTTTTTAGATTTCGTCCGCGGCTGAGGGTGAGTTGCGGCCCGACCTTTCGTTTCCGGTGTTGGAGACCTGTGAATTCCGGCCCGATAATATTTTAGGTATAGGTTAGTTGCGGTCCGAGTAATTGTAACATTMATTACATATGTACCTTACTTGTATAATATATATTATATTATATATCTATTACCTATGTACCGTATAAACGAAATGTTCAATACGTATGGGAAGTAAATATTTTTGTATAGGTATAATATGATAAAGATAATATAGATGGTTTTATCTTATTATCTGCCATATATGACTTACATTATGAATGCTTTGATTTTTTTTGGACATTATTATCATAATATATCACACCAATTATACTTTTATTTTTTTTTATTATTTATTTTTTAATATAATGTCATAATATTAATATATTATATT